ATCCGCAGCAGCACCTGCGCCTCGGGGAGTTGCCAAAGCTCCGAGTTCACCGGAGAGCCCCCCTGGCATTACACCTAGTGCCCCAGGAAGGAGGCTTTGGAACGTGGTAAGGAAAAAAAACCGCATCTGGTAAGGGTCCACACGATCGCTTGTATCCAGTGCGGACTGGGCGATCCAGCGCCTGATCATTGGTGTGTTTGGGTGAGGAGAAACCAGAAGGATTCTTGTCCCCTCTCAACTCTCCCTCCCCTGCTGCACAGTTTCCATTATTTCCCCGCCACATGTATTTCCTCGAAAGCCCGAGACGCATGTGGTTTCTGAAACCTGCATGTGGTTTGCCCCTCCATCCTGCGCTCGCCATTTCCCAAGTCAATCTCTGCAAAGGGTGAGAGATGCTGTCCAGTTCTCAGATGCAGAGTCTGGCAATTATTTTGATCACGGGCGATAAGGCTGGCAGTGTTAACCCAAAAGATGAAGGATGGAAAAGTGACCAGAGTTAAAGCTGAGACTAGAAATAGTTCCTGCAAGACTTTGTGGTGTCTTAACATTCTTAGGTTATTGGCTGGAGCTAATTACATGGCAAGAGATCACTACAGCTACCCAGTTCAGCATTCATGTTGGAAAACATCAGATCATCACCTTAACTCTGCCCCTAGGATGCATGCACTATGCCACAGGCAGCTCTCCAGCTGGCGTACATTGGTGTAGTACCATTGAAGTCAAAGGAGCTACACTGATTAATGCCATTAAAGGGGTCTGGCCTGTCATGTCACGACTGGTTGGCAAACCAGGTAATCTCATACTAAGGTTTTCCGAAGGTATGTGTGCTGCCACATCGTTTTAGTGGCATCCCTTGGTTTGTGCGTGCTTGGGAAACGAGGTCCATGAAACTAATCTCCTGGAAAACGACCCAGAGAATCCCTACTGCAGTGGTCCCCAACCATTAGAGGTTGCCGGGCGCCAGGGGGCGTGGCCGTTCGCCCGCCAGGCACCAGAGGGTGGGGACACTTGTGCGCCCGGGGGTGGGGGGCCCCCCCATAGCT